CTCACCGCTTGGCCCTGGATGACTGCCCAGCGCTCTCGCTCCAGGTCAGGTGGCCGCCTGAGCAGGGTGTCCCTGGGGTCCAGGTGGTAGGCCTGCATCACCTCATCCTCATCATCCTCCAAATGCAGGGAAGGCTGGCTGAGGAAGGTGCGCAGGCCGCGAGTCGCCCCTGTCCTCAGCACGTCCGGCGGGGCCTGGCGGTCACCCACCCACACTACAGTCTGGTCCTGGCCCCAGTTGCTGTCCGAGGGCTCCACATTCACCAGCTGGTATGTGTAACTGGTGTCCCCATTGAGAGCCAGGCCGGCCATGCCCGGGGAGTGGGGGATGCTGAAGATGGGGTATCTGGTCACTCGGTCCATGTTCTGGGGTTTCAGCCACCACAAGTTCTGGGGTGGAGACGCTCCCAGCTCCCTGAGGATGAGAAGGAAGCACACCACCAGGTAAGAGCACTTGGGGAGGGGCACAAAGTCCAGTTCCTCCAAGGGCAAAGTCCTGCCCAAGCGGCCTCTGTGATTGGTTCAGAGGTAGAGAAGTGACCCCGCCTGGCCAATCAGAGCACCCCCTCCCCCTGGCCTCTGTGATTGGTCTCGGGATGGACATAGGACTCAACCTGGTCAATGACATGAAATCCTGGCACTTGACTGTGGAAATTGTACCCTCTTCCTGTGAGGCTTGTTAGGTTGGGGGAATGAAACTGATCAATTCTGGGGGCCACACATGCCCCCTTGTGGACACAGCCTGCTCAAGAGCAACCCCAACCCCAACACAACATCCTAAAGATGTTGTTTGAACTCCTGGATCCAGCCACACGTGAATCTCACCCCGGCACTGATCCAACGGCTTGCCTCATGTATACCTGCCATTTGCAGGCACCCCTGCTCATCATCTCCCAGACACTGCACATCCAGTCTTGGGGATCCCCTCCTGCCCTAACCCTCCCCCTCCCCTCTTTCACTCAGTTCACCTTGTCTGGACCCAAAGCCATCCCTGGGCAGCCTCTCTGGGCCCCACCAGGCCCCCTGCCAGTACCTGTATCTACCTCTCTCCCAGGGCACACACATTCTGAACTTCCCTCTGTGGTAGTTGTTGTTTTTAAAATATATATTTTATTGATTTCAGAGAGGAAGGGAGAAGGAGAGGGAGAGATAGAAACATTAATGATGAGAGAGAATCATTGATCAGCTGCTTCCTGCACACTCCACACAGGGGACTGAGCCCACAACCTGGGCATGTGCCCTGACCAGGGCTCGAAACCACAACCTTGGAGTATAAGGATGATGCTCTAATCAACTGAGCTACCTGGCCAGGGCCCTGGGATTGTTGTTGTGTTTTTTTTTTAAATAAATTGGCATTTATTTTATTTTTTTATTATTATTTTTTGTTAGTCCTCATCTGAGGATATTTCCCCCCCTCCCCCATTGATTTTTAGAGAGAGTGGAAGGAAGGGGGAGAGACAGAAAGAGAAATACACCGATGTGAGAGAGACACATCGATTGGTTGCCTCCCACATGAGACAGGGATCGAGCTTGCAAGCGAGGTATGTGCTCTTGACCTGAATCGAACCCGGGGCCCTTCAGTCCGCAGGCCGATGCTCTATCCGCTGAGCCAAGCCGGCCAGGGCTCTGTGATTGTTTTCATCTGACATTTACAGGTGGTTCCAGCAGGCCTGCCTCTCGCGGAAGGATGTCCAGTGGGAAAACCGAGGCCCAGAGGGGGCAGCACCTGGCAGAGACTTCAGCTTCCCAGACGCCACATCCTGGTCTCTCCTGCACTGTCCCATCCCAGACAACCCAACCCCACCGCACCTCAGCCACATAAAGCCAGGATAGGCTAGGAATGCCTGGACCTTATCCTGCTAGGCCAGGCCACACCCTAACCCAGTGCCCCAGGGAGGCCCAGAGCCGCCTCCCCGTCCCCCAGTGTCCAGGAGCTTTCTACAAGGTCACACACCAATCTCACATCTCTGTGGTTCCTGGGATCTCCATGGTCCAGTTCTCACTGCTTTCCCCGCGTGCTTGAGGCCTCCATCTGCCCTCAACACAAATTCCCAAACTCTGTAAGTGCCTCCACCTCAAATCTGAACCGCCTCATCCCCCTGAAGTTCCCTTTGCCCGAAGGTCCATCATTTCTGCACCTCCACAGCCTCCTTAGCAGCAGCCCACAGGACACCTCCTCCAGGGAGCCCTCCAGATTGCCCCATTGTTGGCGCTATCATCTAAACCTGGCCCAGCACCTAATATTAGGCATCACCTTTTTACAGCTGAGAAAAGGAAGACAGGCTGTTCCCAACTCCTCAAGCCGCTCTTATTCCCTGCCCTGGACCCTGGTTCCACCAGAGCTGCTATGCACGTCCGCTACCTTTTGATACCAACTTGCTGGTAACGCTAAATGTGGTTCTGAAGGGAAAAACACAGCATGTCCTTGAACTGGGGAAGTGTTACCAAGCAACATAAAATCGATCATGGGAACAGTGTTACAACTAACAAGGTTATCGATAATGCAATTTTTGTATCTATCAATTGTTGAAACTATAATTAGAAAAACAATGTTTAAAACAGCGGCTTGGACAGTAAATCCCAAGACACTGGGCTGAGCCACTGTTCCAATGACGGAGCAGTCGCCCACAGAGATTTTCTCTTCGGAAGTTGTTGGGGGTAAACGTGTCTTTGAAAGGGGAATGAGTTTACTTAAGGCCTGTCTTCTCCCACCTCTTGGTCCAGGACCCTCTCTCTCAGGGCCCCCGGTGGGCGAGC